GGGACCCTTCTGTCCCCGAATCCTCCCAGTGGCCCCAACTTTAAGACACGATAAAATCAGGAATTAGTGATGACTTGGTTCAGGGGCGGTGGGGTAACCCAGTAGTTAAGCTCGTCACGCCGAAGACCCGGGTTCGATTCCCTACATGGATACAATGTGTTAAGCTCATTTTTGGTGTCCACCGCCGGGATATTGCTGGAATATTGCTAACAGCGGCGTCAAACTAAACTCAGTCACTGGTGACTTGGTTCAGTCTAAACCATTCGGTCAGGTCTACGTGGATTGTGATTTGACCTGTCCACCATGCACTCATAGGTTCGTCTGCCCCTGACTTAAATATTTCACACAGGCTGTCCTGAAAATTGCTGACTTCAAAGTAAAGTGACATTCAATTGAATCCTTGGAGTGGAGTGGAGCGACGCGACGCGACGCGACGCCGCACTCGGCAATATGGCATCGGTCTGTAAATAATCGAGCCTGGACCAGACAATCCAGTGATCACCAGCATGAACATCGATCTACGCAATTAGGATACGATGACATGTGTCAACCAAGTCAGCGAGCCTGACCACCCGATCCCGTTAGTCGCCTCTTACGACAAGCATGGGTTACTGAAGACCAATAGTCTAACCCGGATCTTCAAGGGTGACTTAATTACAAATTCATGTTAGTTGATGAAACATTGATGACGAAAATAACGTTACGTTCTCACTAAAAACAAATTAATTTTAGGTCGCCAGTTTTATGAAAAACAATAAAGCTGTTACTGTGGCCTAACCTACAAACCAGTTTGTCGCAAAGACGACTCCACTGTCAATATCAAATTGAATACACGTGGATGATAAAGATACCCCTGTTTACCCGAGGGGGTGAAAGTACATGTTAATACGATATGTTGTAAATCCGTGAGTCAAACTCATTCTGCCATTCACCATGGTCACGATGACCTAGGCAGGTTAATGCACAAAGGGCAGTGCACTGGCAACTGTAAGCAGTGAAGCTATAGTGTTCTGCCATATAAGGATATGTTGGCCCCCGAATATCCGGGTGTGATTGTGTTTGTTGGGGAAGGGGCGGTGATTAAAGGAGTGTTTTCTTTGGGATATGCACTCATCCATGTGTGACGCTTCTTTTGGAGATACGGTTATGCGGCAAACTCCGGTTATAACGAACTCGAATAAACGTAAGTTTAGTTCGTTATAACCGGAGTTCGTATACCCTTTTAGATTCACATAAACAGCAAGTGTCAAGGACAACAACAACAACAACAACGACACACACGCACACACCAAAACAAAAGTATAAACAGACATACAAATAGATAGATAGAGAGGGAGCGCGAGAGAGTGAACCGGATGGACGGACGGGTCATAACTTAAGGCCCGTGCATACGTAAGATCTATTAACATAGTTATACACTCCTTTAATCATAACGTATATTTAGAGTAATGTACACAAGTATACGTATTCTGATCTTCAGTGGCCCATTCGGTGCTGACGGGAACGCGGTGTCGGCTCGGCTCTCTGTGGTAAGATACATGGTAAACACAGCGTTGTATTGACTTGGATCTTGGTTGGTCCAGTGGTTAAAGTGTTCGCTTGTCACACATCGACGGTTTGATTTCAGTTCGATTCCAAAAAATGTGCGACGCTTTTTCCTCTTCCCGTTGTTTGTATTTTTTTTCCAGTATTATCATCGATACTCATTAACAGTTTTATGTAGAAGACCCACAAACGGGACAGGGGTGGATTGGATTGGAGGGTTGGTCTGATTAGGAGAGAGATGGAATTCGGGAGGTGCATGGTTGGGCTGTAATGAGATACCTATTCACATATGACATAGGAAGCATTCATGAGATGACAGCTGTAACATTCCTGCATCTACACACACGCGCACGCACGCACGCACACACACACACACCACATCCAGCCTACACTCCGAGTTATTATAATAATTGTTAATTTTGAAATTCTGCTCGAAGAACCGTTAAACCAAACCCTCTATAATTGTCGGTTATGAATAGTTAAAAAAAACAATACAGAGGTAGGTTGGAATAGGGATTGGCTGAAATTAGGAAGAATAGGCAACGGGCTGGTGATAAGAATGAGTGAGTGTTATTTTGCGCCGCTTCCATCAGTATTCAGTACACAAGGAGTGAGTTAGTGAGTTTAGTTTCACGCCTCTTTAAGCAATATTCCACCAATATCACGGCGGGGGACATCAGAAATGGACTTCACACATTGTACCCATGTAGGGAATCGAACCCGGGCCTTCGGCGTAGCCGCGTATAGGTGCAAATCTGCTGATGCGGCGTTCAGCAACATTCACTCACTTCAACCACTAAGCTACCCAAACGGCCCACATCCAAAACAGAGTACGTCCGTGGGAATATTTGTAGGTTTCATTTGTACAAACAGAAATTTCCAAATGAAAGTGGCAAAGAAATGAAGCCCAACATCCTCCATCTGATTTTGATTGCACGGTCAAAGCCACGGCTCGTCTGACCTGAACGTGGATGTGTTGTCAGATGTTGCTCGCGATCTTCCGCAAGAAATGAGATCCTTTACATCGATACGACTCCTCTTTGCAAGAGACTGGCTGAACTGAACTTTAAGCGAACCTTATTTTCCACTCAAGGCTATGTTCAAAGCATACTATAAGGAGATAACAGAGAACAATATAGTATAACCATGGCGACACTATTTCTCGTTAATTTTACAAAGAATTGAGCGAAAAGTGGTTGACAATTCGATCAAAAGTGAAACATTCTTAGTTTTAAATACTTGATTGTCTTTGAGTATTATATTTTTGGAGTAATTCTTTCTTTAATTAGGAAAATACTGTCAGTTTGACAAATAATGGTTTTCATCCACGATATCATTTAACACACATAAAGTGCATTTGCTATCAAATAGCCTTAGATTATGCCATCTACCTGTCTATACCCACAGGAGGTGAAAAGAGATCATTCTGAACTGGGTCAAACTAAATTACGCATTTTTCAGGCAAATATTGCAAATAGAATTCTATATCAGTATTTTTAATTTATATTCTTATAATAATCTGTTTTATCAAAAAGGTAACATATTTGTATGCCATGTATAAAAAGAGATGTAGAAGAATATTCTTTTTATTATGCTTAATCCACTCTGCTCTTACAGAACTGATTTACCCATGTATCATTAGTCTGCGTTTTTACCAAACTGCCACTTATGCAAGAGATCCATTTATTTTAGTTCGATCTGTCTGATGCATTAAACAATGAATGACATAGAATACTATATATTTTGTATTCTTTTCCTGCAGTTAACCTAGCCCAGAAACATATCATCTGCGTATACCCATCAATACAAATAGGCTTACTTCCAGTCTCGACATTCAGCACATATATAGAGGAGTTTTCTCTTAACACGTGCAATTTTCTCAAGAAAGTAACATTAATGTTTTTTCATTTATGCTGCAGTTTCAAATTCCCATATTTCAGAGATTTACATACAAGATTGAATATACAGCTGCATCAAATTTTCAGCTGATAGGTAAAAAAACCCAATCTGGATTTGGATAAACTATTTCATTACTTTGAGACTCTTCTCAAACAATGCTCTTCTGTTAGGTGTATTGGAACATTTCCTACTTAATATGATACACAGGAATAAGTAACTTTTCATTTATATTCAATATGTAAATGATTGATATTTAGAATGTATAACTATATTCCTCTTTAATGCCATTAAATATGGTGACATTAGATTTGTCAACATTGTAATAAATTTCCATGACTTCAATATTCACTCACTGAATATATCCAACCAGTTGTGGAGATCATCTTCACATGTCGCTGATGTGACAGCACCACCTGCATATAATAATGCAAATCGCTTCCTATATATACACAACTCGTCGTCATTTACTATAACTCCTTCAGGTGTATCAGAAGTTCAAGATCATATTGCTTATTAAATCTGTGTTCGTTTCCTTGTTGAACGCCATTCTCAGTCATTATCCTGTCATATAATTGATGATCGGTAAATAATCCAGTGTAGACCAGGCAATCCAGTGATTGACATCATCGGCATCAATCTACGCTGTTAAGGTACGATATGACATGTATCAATCATGTCAGCGACCCTGACCGTCTGACCCCGTCAGCCGCTTCTTCCGCCAAGCTTGGGTTGCCGGAGCCCAGTTCTGTACCTCGCTACATGCACGTGACAGGAGTATACATTGTCCCTCAGGGCGACAGGATGGCCGGCCTTGGGTTACATAGCGCTATCAACAACAACAGGTCTCAATATCAATGCACTGGCGGGAATACCTTCGTGCACGATGTCTATCCGCATTTTAACTAGCTATAAAAAAACTCGGTGAACCTATGTGACTTAACAATTGTAGATGTGTCTATAAACGCAATATATCTCATGCTTACAGACTTAATTGTTTGCCTTTAAGCATCCGATTTTTAAATGATAATGCTAAATTTCATGTTAAAACAGAACATTGCAAGGTAAGTAAATGGTCATTTCCCCAGAAAATATTTCATTTCATGATTGAACAAAAGCTGTAAAGGGAAGTAATTATTGTTGGGTAAAATACATAGCACATGTAAACATACGCAACTTAGACTGGTGCCTGTCCTCATGCAGCTAGTTGCACAATGTCTTGTTTACCGTGCGCAAGCGAGGCAAGTGACCAGTCTAATAGGCAACCCCCAGCACCTCATGAAATGTGCGTCAATAAATGACCGATAACAGTCAACCTTGCATGACGTGCCGTTTTCCAGTTGCATAGCATAACATTATGCTGTGAGGTCGATGCAAATTAGTGTTTTGCAGTACACGCCGTTCCTTGCAATCTAACCATGCACAACAACATATTGCTGTGCTATATTTAAACAGAAGTCACTGCTACTTACGACAGCGCCGGGCTTTCGTGTTGTAAACCGTTTGTATGGAGCGAAGCCTTTTATGCGGTGTGAAGAGCTTTCTATTTAGGTCAAATTGACCGCATTTAACCGACCGTGACGCACAAGGTTCATCAGTGTTGTGGAGAGAGGTTTGATGTGTTGACGTGTTGAACGCTGACGCAATACAAGTCAATCGACTAAATTAGCTGTTACACAGTCAGGTACTGTCATCCTTATCTTATCTGATACAAGCTAGTCAATGAGAACACACGGGACAAACCAGACCACTAGGCGATTGATCGGGGAAACTGCTCGGACACCGAGCCAGCTGGAGAGCCTTGTTTACAGTGCGAATTCTCTCAGTTACGCGGCGTTTTCACTGCTTGAACTGCCGTGGACTGAAGATAGATAGTCGGAAGAGGCCAGGTTCACCAGAAGTTAATTTCATCAGAATTGTCAGTCCTCGTTCAAGGAACTGACAGACGAAAAGATCGAACCAAGACTGGTCGACTTCCAACAATGGCCGAAACGATACTTCAAACCCGAGCTAAGGTACGATTCGATGATTTATGTTGTTTGTTTCTAAAATGATTGTTCTGCATTACAGTTAATAAGGATTTGGATCCCAAATCTCCACCTTATTTTCACACTTACCTACAACGATGACGTGAAAATATATTTTTTCATTAAAATTTTAAAGTCGAGAATGACAGGAAAATTGATCTTGGCCGCTCAGCTGTGTGTTGAGACCAGTTGGTCGAAGATAACGTCACGCATTAGTGATGTTCGTCATAACTGATTGGAGATACGAATCTGCTATGTTGTTGCACAGAAAATCGATCGTTAAAATATGTTTACCTTGTGACAACCCTAAGGCAAACAGATAGATCTAAAAATATAATAATCGAATCGAATCCAGCGTTAAATATGCTACAGAATTTGATGTCCACGGCACTAACGGTATTCTTATCGCGTATTATCAAGGCAATGCAAATGTTAGCAATTATAGTGCCCTGTTGATGAATTCATAGGGAGAATACACAACATACATACGTGCAGTGTTTATCATATTGTGTATGATGGAGCTATATACCTACTTGTAATTTTGGCCATGTTGATATATGTAATAATGCATGGTGCCACAGGTTCCCCCACCTCTTACAGTGTTCGATTTCTACCGGTGTTATTATAATAAGACATATATCGATTTCCCATAAATAACAACTGTATATCGTATCTTTTGGTGTGGTATGTGTGTATACCGGCGGTCACCGAACTGGTATATCAGAAGAAACTCATACAGTCGTCGATGAGTATTTAGGTGTAAAAAATACTCAGTGATTTAAGCATGTTAAGATGTTTTCGAGGTTGTTGACAGATTAAGTTTCAAGGCTGTTGCATGGATAGCATTTCTTTCAGTCTGTCAACCTGCTAAAACCTTTTTGATCAACAGTTCACAAAATGTGATCTAAAGGGTCTGATTTTCTAAACGCATTATACAACGTACGGCCCGAGTACAATTATACACTCACGGAGTGGCCATTGCTTTTCTTCAAGGACTCATATCGACTACTCTTCATATTATCGTATTTCCTCTAATAAGCCCCCAGTGTAAAGTAACTGTTAAAAAAAGAAGCGCCGGGTGTGCCACATCTTTACAATGGAGTTTACAAATAAAATACCACTGGCAAATCTATATTCATTTCCGTTCAAACTTTAAGCGCGGGGTCTCCAATAAGAGCCGGGTCTGAGAGTTTGCTGAATAAACAAGTGCCCGAGCACTTGAGGAAATACGGTATGTAAGTGAGAAATACGTTTGTTTGGTGACGAGGCCGTAACAAAGAGCGTACATGCTGGTATTACCTGTCAGGCGGGATTATGGATTATTTTGAACAAGAGATTAATTGTGTAATCTTATGTAAATTGTCAATACAATGTACAGTTGTTCTGTTCAACATATCGAAAATGTGAATGTCAATCACGTTACCAAACATCAGATGTATTGCATACGTAACTACTATAATACCAGAGCCCTCTTCAACACAGCGATCGTAGCTGCGCGACTGTCCTAAGTCTGTTAAAATATACTGGACAAAAATACTAGTAGTTAGGGATATACTATTATATATTTTGAAATTGTGAATACTGATCTATTTATTCATTGACACACTAATAAAATATCAATCATAAAAACACCAATACCCCTAACTTATTTTGTCCAGTATATATGGGGGTTACGAACACCGCATTGAATGGTCGCTTTGTGCTGTACTAATAAACTGTGTTGACGTGACGCCCGAGTGTTGACGTTGCCAAAGCTTTTTCAAATTGGCAATCATTACTCTTTATTCATTGCGATACCAACTTAAAGAGGGGACAAGTTCATTTCCACTGCAGGCCTTTACTTATACATACCATGTGTGATTATGCTTTTATCGATATTTGAGATGTATGTCGGTGGTTATTTATTGATCAATTATGCACCAAACAATCCAGTGATTGACATTATGAACGTCGATCTACGTTGTTGGGAACCAGGTCAGCGACCCTGACCACACAACCCTTTTTGTAATAGTAATGATAATAGTAATAGTCCGCTCATATCCAGGTACAGTACCTGCTTACGGCGCTACGTACATTTTTAGTCGCTTCTTACGACAATCATGGGTTGTTGAAGATAAATTCTAACTCAGATCTAAACGGGAATAGGTGTTGTACATTTCAGCTGATATTCTAAAAACGCGGTGTACAGTTGCTATGGAAATTGTGATAGACAATCGAATTAATTGCATACACTGTATCACCTCCGCAGGTGACATGCGACATCTGATGTACAGTGTGTTAATAATCCAATACGTTCATCCCACGCACTGCTCACACCGGTGTACCAACAAGCAATGTTATTGATTGCGGGGTTGGAAGGGGGTGGAATATAAACTTTAACATGGACGCGAGATTTGATAAAAACAGGTGTTTGTGAATGGACAGTTGCGTTGAGGAGAGGGTTCAAACTTTCGCCCTTGTGTGATTTTTCATATGTGAAGTTCTGGTGACTTCTCCGCCCCACTTACCCTCTTCACGTAGACATTCCTGGGGGTGGGGGTAGCTCTGGTTCGATTCCCCAAATGAGTACAATGTGTGAAGCCCATTTCTGGTGTCCCCCCCGCCATGATATTGGTGGAATATTGCTAAATGCGGCGTAAAACCATACTCACTTACTCCAGGGTAGGGATAATTCTGCCCGGATATAGTAACTAGATAATCAAGGATGAGTCTTATCTCTTCATGCAGTAATTTGTTGGTGTACCGTATTTTCTCAATTAATTGTTCTGGTTGGTTTAAGTTGTTTTTAAATTAGACCTGTTCTGTTCCTGAATGTTCGGTTCGATAAATTGTTTAGTACCGCATGCAAAATATTAATTTTAACCAGACAATCCAGTGAATTTTGACCAGACAATCCAGTGAATGATAAAAAGAGCATCAATATTAATGTACGTTGTCCCGCCGTCAACAAACTTCACCGAGCCTGACCACAGGAATATTACATGAGTGAGTGTGTGAGTTACGCTATTTTACCAACATTCCAGTATATCACATCGGGGGACACCGGAACTGGTCATTTCATGTTGTACACATGTAGGGAATCGAACCCAGATTTTCGGCGTTACAAGCGAACGCTTTATCCATTATTTTCCCCACGGCCCGACAATGCATTACAACAAGCATTGGTTGCTAGGCGCCAATTCTAACCTTCAGTCCTATGTTGATTTTCCAGGTGTACGTGACACGCACGGTGCCCCAGCGTGGCCTTGACATTCTGCTGCAGGGATGTAACGTGTCCATGTGGAACAGCGAGGAACGTGTTCCCCGAGGGGAGCTCCTACACAGCGTCTCAGGCGTGGACGGCATCCTGTGCATGCGCAGTGACCAGATAGACCGCGAGGTTTTAGACGCAGCAGGTGAGTTATTCACCTTTTGGGCCAAGTTCATAATTATTCATTCACAAAAAACATCAACAACAAACGCGATTCAGTCCTTCAATGGTTGGAAATGTCAACTTTTGTTGTCTGTCGGTTTACTTTCTAATGACTGTCAGTGATTTATCTTTGGAGGGTTATATCCGCAACCTAAAAAATGATTCTCCAGAGTTTCGGGGGGCGGATGGGTAGCCCAGTGGTTAAAGCGTTCACTCGTCACGCCGAGGACAGGGGTTCAATTCCCAACATGGGTACAATGTGTGAAACCCATTTCTAGTGTTCCCCGCCGTGATAATGCTGGAATTGTGCTAATAGCGGCGTAAATGTAACTCATTCACTCTCCAGGGTTGCGCCCAACAGCTGAACACTGATATCCTGGTCGTGGGTGCGAAATTAAAATTCGACAGGATTATGTTTTTTAGTCTTTCCACTATTACCTGCTAGGTGGGTTAGGTGACGAGGCCGTAACAAAGAGCGTACATGCTGGTATTACCTGTCAGGCGGGATTATGGATTATTTTGAACAAGAGATTAATTGTTTACGAACTGTTCTTCAGTGTTCACTAATGGTGTTTCAAAGTAACAGGACATTGGGTCCTGTAAGTTTCAGATGTCTGTCTGACCCATTGAAAATTCAAAGGACCCATAGAATAAAATTAAACACACATTTCAGATTTGACATTTCTTACAATTGGCATTGAAATTATTAACAAATAAGATTTATAAAGAGGAAACAGGTGTTACATGCCACATATAACAACTTCAGTCAGAGTTATTGTGAAACATACAGTCAGACACTGGGGCCGGTGGGTTGTAGACTTCTATCCGACCGTTGGCGAATCTGCCGGATTTGTCAGAGGGTCAGACGCTATTCGTGAACACTGGTTCTTTTCGTCCCCCTTCTCACATTGTACTGAGACGCCCCAATAAATTAAACACTGTTCAAAACCCTCTCACATACGACTTGATGGTGACTGAAAAGATGTTTCTATCCATGCAAGCTGTTTGCGACGATGGAGACTAACAACCTGGGCTAATTGGGGTTCGAATCAACGACCACTGGTTTATACAGTTTTGTACATCGAGCTGTGTGTGTGGGGGGTGTTTAGTCTAGTGGTTAAAGCGTTCATTCGGCACGCCGAAGGCCCGGGTTCGATTCCCCACATGGGAACAATGTGTGAAGCCCATTTCTGGTGTCCCCGTCGTGATATTGGTGGAATTATCTAAAAGCGGCGTAAAACTATACATGTTCACGCACCCACATCGAGTTGCGTCGCTTTAAACTGGGCCACCTGTGTCCCAAGATGTCACTGGAATGATTGACACCTTTCATTCCTCTCACTGAATAACGTACTTGAGAATTCTTTTTGAATGAGTGATACTCTCAAATGTCATGTGTGTGCCCTATCACGGTAATTAAGTATAATATACTATGTATGTGGCTTGTCAAGGTTCCACGAACAAAGTCCAGTATGTAATTACTCAGCTCGGTAGGAATTCAGATTGTTCTATATTTATACAGATATGGACACAGTCACGTGTTCTGGCATGTGGGTTATGAAAATAGGCCGATGGGGGTATCCTTCACTCTTCTGCACCAACACGGGTTTGTTCCCAGCTTTGGTACAATGGGTTCATTCCGTTGTTGGTGTTTCTTGCCCAAATGTCGGTGGAATGTTGCTAAAAGCGGCACCAAACCTCACACTTTCCAAAGGGCACATCTTGGCAGTGAGTAGTCCAGTTGTTAAAACGTTCACCGTTAGTCGAAGGGTCGGGTTCGATTCTGAACCTTGGATAAATCTGGCGCCCAACTATCGTGAAAGGGACGATGGGGTAGCCTAATGGTTAAAGTGTTCGCTCGTCACGCTAAGACCCGGGTTCGATTCCCCTCATGGGTTCAATGTATGAATCCCATTTCTGGTGTCCCCGTCGCTATATTGCTGACAGTCGTGTGAAAACATACTCACTCACTCACTCACACACGTGATAGTTTTGAATTTAAATTGGCAGTTCGGTGGTTCGATCACCGCCCGCGCCGTCCAAAAGATGATGCTTGTTCTTACAGTGCCTGGCGCTCGGTATGATGGGATACAACAACGAGTCAGTCTAGCTAGGAGTCAGTATACTTTGTCTAAGTGGGGTACCCGTGTATCTCAGAGTACTAGTATTATAAGAACATACCAATACCCACAGCCACGCACGTCCGCACACACACGTGCATGCATGTCGTATATAGCTACAATGATATTGTACGTGGCAGTAAACCCAATTCCGACTCACCTTCGTGAACACGTGGACAACATGGAACCACATTCCCGCAGTCAACCTTGACCGCAGAATCCGACTGCGAACGACCCTCACCATGGAGACTGTTGGACCAATGCATAACACGTACTTTCAGGAGAATGTTGTTCTTGTGTACAGTCATTATAGTGTATCTGTCCTGTTTGTTTCTGAACGACCCAGCGAGGTCCCGGTAACCTGTTAAATGTAGAGAAGCCGTGCGGCAACGATATATCATGTATTTGGAGGCTGCACGTTTTGTTTTCAAGGAACTAGAAGTTTTATGTCACCCTGTTGCTCAAGGTTTCACTTATGCCAAGGATTATGTGCAAGTAAATTTACGTTAGATGTACATCCTTTGCTCCTGTGGCGCCCAGCCTCAAGGGTGCAGTGTCGTGAGTCTTGGTAGCCAAGTAGATAAAACGTTCGCGCGTCTTATCGAAGACCCAGTTCTACTCCTCACGTGGATACAACGCGTGACCCCAGTCATTGTGACCCCTTCATTGTCACCCCGACCCTGACTTCACGAGCTGGCCACAGGCAGTCAACACTCGTCAAGATCAAGGTCATGTGTTGAAACCTTCCAATCCTCTTTTCAAGAACGTAGTATCCCGGCTGACTGTTGTGAGTCCCTCGGAGAGTTGAGACAAAGTCTGTAATGAGAATCCCACAGTTTGTTATTCAATGATGTAGTTCCGCAATGTGTTGAGGAGGCCGGATTCTGGCAACGTTCTCACATGCCATTCTGACAGCCAACCAAAAGAATTCCTATTTCTAGAGATAAGTCACTTTGGAAGCCTGCTTCAGGGTCGTCCTGACACAGGTCTCTTAGACGCTGTCTGAAGAAATACGTTTCAGTCACTAACGTAGAATATACAACTTAATGGCCGCTCACAGATAATTCCGGAATAAAAATATATAAATATTTTTCCCTCAATTTAAATTTTGTTTAAGGCCGCACTCAGCAATATTCCAGCTATTTGTCTACCTGGAACACGTGATACGGTTGACTTAACGGAAAGTTTTTACTAAGTCTTGATAATGAGGTAATAGCGTTTGTTTCTTTGTTGTTCACACAGCACTCAGCTATATTCCAGCTGTAAGGCTGCAGTCTGTAAATAATCGAGTCTGGACCAGGCAATCCAGTGATCAACAGCATGACCATCGTTACGGTGACGTATCAACCAAGTCAGCGAGCCTGACCACCCGATCCCGTTAGTCGATCTTACGACAAGCATGGGTTGCTGAATATCAATTCCATCCCGGATCTTCACGGGTTCTTTCCTCTCTAGCCCATCTCTCAGATTTGCTGTATTGGCGGAAGTTTAGCCTTGTGGGTAAAGCGTTCTTTCGTTACGCTGCGGATAGCCTACAGGAGTTTGATCCCGTGTTTGGTGTGTCCCGTCCCGAAACATCGCTCATTTTATATATTTTCTATACGGTGTTCACTTGATAGGTAACCAGCGTTTTCATCTTCGGAAATTCTGGGTTGGACCAAAAGAAAGCCTTTCTTGAAAGTCTCAGTGGACAAAACGGAGTAGCAGTGGTCTAGTTTGTTTACACACAGTTATATATGAAAGCAGAGAATCGCGGTTGTGTGGCCGATTGCAGTGATAGACACTAACATTTTTTATCCACTCATCTTTTAAGAACTTGCACTTGGGCAACACGAAACAGAAAAAGCAACCTCACATTTATACCAACTTGCGCCCAGTACATGTTAATATTTTGATGTTCAGGGAACACAGACCCAAACTCAAGCAATATATTAAGTGTATATTGAGCAGCAAGATGTTGGTGCAACCAGGTGGCCTCGTGTGCAAGTGGGGCGGTGGGGTAGCCTAGTGGTTAAGGCGTTCGCTCGTCACGCCGAAGACCCGGGTTCGATTCCCCACATGGGTACAATATGTTAAGCCCATTTCTGGTGTCCCCCCGCCGTGATATTGCTGGAATATTGCTAAAAGCGGCGTAAAACCAAACTCACTCACTCACTCGTCTGCAAGTGAAAGGAAAGCCACGGTTCAAACCTTTGTTCGTAACGCCGAAACGGGGGATTCGATTTCCAACATGGCTGCAATATGTGAAGCCACCCTCGGGTGTCCCCCGTATTCCTGGCTATTGATTAAGGCGGCATAAAACAACGTTCGGCCACTATCATTAGTGAAACTTGGGTAAATACACCTTCAGTATATATCGGTAGAGAAAAACACGCATATATGTACATACACATATGCACGCACGCATTGAGTGGGTGATGTATATTTCTAGATTTGTCAGCACTATGTTGCAGGAATATGTTTATCCAACTCTCCTCACGTATGTTTGATGACCACATATAGCACCTATCCCCGATCGTTGTTTTTGCTTCGTCATTGTTTATAAAGGCCATCAGTTTTGCGCTGTCATTATGACATCCTAGCTTCCAACTTTAAACGACTGGATATCATCCCACAGTCTTCCCGAGTAGGAGGAAAACAACATCCGATAACCTTTGTTGTGTACACACATCGCCCACGGTTTGAAAGTCGACGATGTGGATGCCTATCTAAAACGTTCTCCCGTCCCGTTCAAGGCTATGCAGGGATATCTCACCTACTATATGCATTTACCTTACATTCTTGTCATCTTGATTAAATTATCGTATGTGAATTTATATTGTCCTATTCTCATGTACCACCGTTTCTGGGTTCTTCTGGGAAT